CCCACGCCCTTCCCGCACGCCTCCCCCTGCCCATTCGTCTGCAACCCCCAGGCGCCCCTCCCTCGCATACACTGACGAGTGCAAGTGCACGGTTCTCCGGGGTCCTGTGAACCGCCCTAGAAAATGGGGGGACGCCTAGGAGGGGAGGTGGGCACCTCTGGGGTACCGCCCGCTGGGTCTCCATCTCCCTCTGCAGTCATGACTGTCCTCCAGGCTGGCCTCTCAGACTAGAGACCCCCTTGCTCACTGAGCCTCCAGTTTATTTATGAGTCTCCGTGTGGACTCATGGTTTCCTCTTTCATTCAGTGGATTTACCCTGAGGCCCAGTTGTCCCTGATTTGGCCGGAGTGGGGCTCATACCTCATCAGGTCTTTGCTTCCTGGCCCCAGGTGTCCCAGGTGGTCTTGTACGTCAGGGTCCAAGCCCCCCCAGGCACCGCCTGCAACCAGCCGTCCCCAGGGGGCCCGGTCCCTGCAGGGGGGCAGTGACCTTAAGAGCCAACATCTGGGTGCCAGTGAGCTTGTTGTTTTGGGGCTATTGGGGGTCTTGCAGACCCTGCCAGTGGGGAGAGCTGGGGATGCACAGGTTCCCCTAACCCCACCTTGGCTCCTCTCTGTCCCACCCCACTTTTGTCACAGACTCCCATCAGCCTTAATATATGTAATTATTGGCTGGGGGCGGGGGGAGGGGAGGCACCTGGGTGGCTCAGTCGGTTGGGCGTCCGACCTCAGCTCGGGTCATGATCTCGCGGTTCGTGGGTTCCAGCCCCACGTCGGGCTCTCTGCTGACAGCTCGGAGCCTGGAGCCTGCTTTGGACTCTGTGTCTCCCTGTCTCTACCCCTCCCCCAGTCACACTCTGTCTCTCTCAAAAACTAATAAACATTAAAAAATATATATATGTAATTATTTGACCAAATCCTGTGTGTATCTGGCCTCCTGTTGTCTTTACTGACCCCACCCCATGCACCCGCCTTCTCCCCATAAACCTTGTTGGCTCCAATCTCCCAGCGGTTCCCCTCTCTGGGGTGCAGCCACCAGCACCTGGGGGCCCATCTCACTCTCGTCCGTGTGGTTTCTTCCAGAGACATTCTGTCCTATGCATCGTGCTTATTTTGAATAAATAAAAGGCTAAGTTCCCAGGGACATTACAAACAAGGCTGTGCATTTATCAACTGGTTTTCACCCGTATGTGAAAATAGACATTAACGCACATGAGTTTTTTCCCATCCGTGGCGTCTGTGAACATATTTGTGTAAGTGCACGGATGTCGTGCAGAGGGCTACCATAAGGCATGACTATACAACTTTTTAAAAATTTTTTTAATGTTTATTTTTGAGAGAGAGAGAGAGAGACAGTGTGAGCAGGGGAGAGGCAGACGAGAGGAGAACCTTATCCGGAAACATCCAACTGTCAGCACAGAACCGGCAGCGAGCTCAGGCTCCGCAGAGGACGGCGATATCTGTTTTCGAGGCGCTTAACCGTGGCTTTTTATAAAACAAACACTCACGTAACCACCACTGGAGTCCAGAAGTAGAACTTGATCGGTGCCTGAAGTCACCCACGTGTGCCCTGATTTGGCAAACGTGTTGGTGTTTTTCTCTCCGTGCACTCCTTTCCGCGTCCTGGGCGAAAAGCCTCCACCGATGAAGACAGTGGCAGTTGTGACCCGGGGTGGACACTTGTTTATTGCGTATGCCAGGGAGAGAGAGAGAACGTGGCGAGGGGTCTCCGACGAGCAGGGGCTGTCGAGAGGACGGAGGGGGGACGTGGGCGGAGACACCTGGGTGCCACTACTGGCAGCCAGTAGGAAGGATGTGCTCTGGGTGATAGACACGCGTTCAGCAGAGGGCGTTGAGCGGCGATCGCGTATGAGTCAGATGCATCAGGGAGTGTGGGGGGCATAGGCTTCTGCAGCACAGGGAGCCCCTCCTCCCTCCCCCACGCCGTGGCCGAAGAAAGGAAGAACCGGGCACCGGGCGAAATTTCTCAACCGCTGCCCTGCCGCGCTGCCTTCAGCCCTGCTGTCAGGCTCAGGAGCCTCTTGACATATACCCTGAGCCGCGAGGTCTTGGCCTCCGCAGCAGGTGGCCTCGGGTGGGGCAGGTGGGGAAGGATGGTGGCTCTTCCTATGGCAGCCGCCTCCCAGGCCCACCCATGAAGCCGAGGTTGAGAGGCAGATCTCGGGGGGGGCCCTGCTGACCCGGCGGGTCAGGGGACGTTAGCGTGCCCCCTGTCTGGAAACCGGGCGGTCGGTGGTCGCTATTCTGTGGTGGGGGCCTCGAGGGGTATCTCCACCCAGGAGGGAAGCCGAGAGCCTTGGCGATGAAGAAAAGGAATCTTCTCGCCCTTTCCAGTGTGGAGAGGTCAGGCTGGGCGGGGCAGCGTTTTTGGCCAGCGGATGATGGGGACCTATAGGTTCCTGGGGCCACTGTGGCCAGAGCAGAAGAAGCTGAGGACTAACAGCAGCCCTCATCGCCTGGCTGCAGGCTGCCTTTACTGCAGCCAAAAGCCAGCCTCAGACACTCTCCATCCTTGGGCCTTTCAAACCCCGGGTCCCAGGCTGGAGGTCACAAGGCGTTAGCCAGGGCCAATCAGGGGCAGCAGGGGGAGGAGGGGCAGGGCAATCCCATAAAGATCGTAAAGCCAGGGGCACGCGGAGAAAGGGCAGGAAAAGAAGCGCATGCAGGGGAGGTGGGGCAGGGGAGGTCCAGGTCAGGGCGGGGCCAGAGAGGCAAAGACGCGAACCTGAAGCGGAGACAAGGCAGGACGTGCCCGCCCGCCCGCCGGGTCTGGGCTGCCTATACAGACACCCGCCCGGCAGGTGCCGGCACCCTCCTGAGCCCAAGGTGGCTGAGGGGGGGGGGGAGTGGCCGAAGCGAGGAAGGCAGCGCCTCGCAAGAATTGTGGCCCTTTGCCAGGAATGAACCTACACAAACGTCTGTGGGGGGCTAAGCGTGCCTTGATTCCATAGTGACCGTGGTAACTGCGACCCGGGAGCCAGCACTCAGCAGCTTGAGACAGGTTCCAGCGGAAGGCGGGAGCCTCCTTCCTGAGTCGCGGTTGGTGGCGTCCGGGGAGGTCAGCGGCTGCTGGCAGCAAAGCAGAGAGAAAGGAGAGAAAGCATTTTGCGCACCGACCCGTCAAAAAATGACCAAACCTGGACGGGAGTGAGGCCTGAGCTCTTGACCTCCGGTCCCTGTCTCGAATGCCCCCGTGACCATCCGGCCCTGAGTCCTCGAGGGAGCCCGATGGGCAGTGGTGAAACACCCGGCCTGATCTGGAAGCTCGGGAAGGATCAGGACTGAGCTCGCTGGCCTCCCCTCCAACACACAGCCCTCCTGGGGGGCCACCCAGTCCCAGCTCCCCTCCATGGTGGCCACAACAACGCCAAATCCGTGCAACCTGCGGGGTGCCAGCCTGATCCTGCACTGCCTGGGGTCGAGGTCATGCCGTGTTCGGGCCTCCCTGGGCTGAGCTGGGTGGGGCTGGAACCTCAGCCCCCCTCACTAGTGTTGCCCCTTTAGCCACCGGCCCCCTTTTTGCTTGACCCCCACCCCAGCCTCTCCAGCACACTCACCTGAAACACCTCCAGACCTGACCGCTGCTCTCGGGAAGCCTGACCCTCTCAAACAGCAGCTGCCCACCCCAGCGTCCGCTCCCAAATTTCCCCTCCAAAGCTTCTGTCTGGGCCCCCCAGCCTTACGTGCTTGTGACCACAGCACACGGTCCCTTTCCTAAGCCCAGGAGCCCCAAACACCTCACCCCTGCCCTGAGCCCCAGTGTCCCCCCCCTCCCAGAGTCTCGGAAACCCCAGTCCTCGACCCCCATGATCCACACACTGCCACCCAGAGTAGATCAGCACCTGTGCCTCGTCACGTGAGGAGGAGTCTCTCTCCTGCTGTCTGGGCGGCTGCTTGAGACAGGGGAGACTCGTCTGTCTCAGCCCTTCTCTGACACCTTGCCCATGCCCTGGTGACCCCTCACGGTCACCTGGCCTCTCCCGATGTTTTGTCCATCACTGCCGACCCTAGACTGACGGCCAGCCCTGCTCTGATGACATCCCCGAGGGGCTCTTGATGCATGGTGACCACCTCTGCCTTCAAGCACACCTTTCTCAGCCCTTCCTTACCTCCTTCCTTCCTCCATCTTTTTTTTTTTTTTTTTTTTTTCACACACAGAAACCCGATGGAGCCTCTGGCTTCTCCCTCCTCTGCCCCCCCGACACTCTGGGTGCTGGGACGCCCCTCTTCCTGCCAGCCTTCGGCGGTTGGTGTTCATGGGCTCCGTGGCTGTCTTGCTGCCGGACCTCTTAGCTTCCACAGAACCATCTGGGTCCCATGTGAGGAACCAGCCCGACCAAGATCCAGACAGGCGCGGGACCCCCCTAAGCTCCTCCCGCCCGCCTCACAACACATCCAGTCTGTCACCAAATTCTTTCATCGCCCCAGCCCCAGCCTGCTGCGGTTCCCACTTCTGTGAGCCAGCCTTGTCCCCTGCCTCCCCCACCGTCTCGAAGCCCACCTGAGAAAGCAGGCAGTCCTCCCTCAAAACACCCTGGGCCTGGGGTGAGGTCAACAGGCAACCCTCCTCCTTCACTCTCTGCACTTGAGCTGCCCAGACGTCCCTCTGGTTTCGGAAGGAGCACGACCCCGTGCCACGGTTCTGCTCCCTCCCCGAGGTTCTGCAGCTGGTTTCTCCACTCTAACTTATAGCTGGGCAGACAGCTCTGTTAAGTGCTGCCTAATCCTCGAGAGGACTAGGTGTTTGGGGCACCTTCTGCCAAAGTCCCCTGGGTCCTTGCCATGGGCAGAGAAGGGCACGGAGTGGGTAGACAAACCACTCGGCGGTGTTGGAGGGGGGGAGCCTGAGCAGTGCCTGGTGGGGAGCCCCAAAGCCAAATCCACCCACCCCATGCCCTCCCTGCTGCGTGGGACAGAGGCGGGCTGGAGCCGAACAGGTATTTTATTGAAGTTCACAGATACAAGAGCTCTGGAGCAGGGTCACAGCTTGGAGGAGGTGGGGTCAGAGAGGAGAGTGAGTCCCCAGATGCTGGCCCAAACCGGGGGGCTCCCACAGAAGCCCTTCTTGCTGCAGGTGTCGGGCCAGAGGGCCCCAGGAGCCAGAAGGGCACAGGAGGGGCAGGGCGAGGGGCCGCTGAAGCCAGGGTGCGGCAACACAGGGAGAAACCCGAGCCCGGGAACGGGCAGGCAGAGAGGGTGGGCTGGCCCAGCTCGCTGCTTACCCAATGCCGGAGCTTCTGGTGGCCTCGCTGCCCGCTTCACAGCTTCGGGGGTCCCAGGTGCCCGCGCCTATACTGCTGCCCCAGCCACTCCGCGCATCCTGTGTCCACGTCAGTCATGACAATCTCGGGCTGTCTCCGGCCGGGCGGTAGCCAGCGGTCCTAATGAATAGTCCCGTGGCGGTACCCATAAGGAAAAATGAAAACGAGGATGATACAAAGGCAGCCAGGGCAGAGCTGAGTGATGTTGAACAGCAGGCTGGCGTCTTCCACCGCTCCATTCAGGTCATTGAGAAGCTTGTCTCGAACCTGCAGCCAGAGAGTGAGGCCAGGAAGGAACCAGGAAAAGGCCATCTGGAGTATGGGGCACCTCTGTGCAGGAGAGGCACCCGAAATTCTTTGTGGTTCTTTTTGCAACTTTTCCACGTCTGAAATTATTTAAATAAAAACAGGACATTTAACAATACTGTATATTCAATCAGGTTCACTGAAGGGATCTGTAATATGTATTAATGTGTGCTGTATGTATGTATATCAATAATGAAAAGCCAACTAGCCCAACAGCAATAATGTAATAATATTAATAGTAATAATAATGGCAATGTGTGTATGTGTATGTGTGAAAACAATAATGACAACTAATGCAATAAGCCAGATGTAATATGTGGCATGGCAGCCATAATATGTATGTATGTGTGTATATATGTAAATAATAATAATAATATAATAATATGTAATATGTCTGTAACAACAATGACAATATGTGTATGGCTGTGTGTAATATGTATGAAATAATGTGTGGCAGCCAATAATGGCTGTGTGTATGTATTATTAATGTATGTATATATTCAATGACTATTGTAGTAATGTGTGTGGTAATGTGTAGCCAGCCAGACGTATGAAAAGTAATGTGTGGCCAGCCATGTGACCAATGTGTGTAGCCACACCTACAGCAATGACAATGACAATGGCCAAAACCTTATGCCAACCTGCCGCCTTATAGCAACCTTGCCTTGCCTTGCCTTATGCTTAGCCTTGCCTTGCCTTGCCTTGCTGTATATATATGCCTTGCTGCCTTATATATATGCCATAACCTTAACCTTGCTGCCTTGTAGCAGGGAGGCTGATTGGGACGGGGGAGGTGACACCTGGATTAATCGATCAGTCAAGCATCCGACTCTGGTTCGATGGTCATGATCTCACGGTTCATGGGTTTGAGCCCTGAATCGGGCTCTGCGCTGTCAGCGCAGCCTGGGATTCTCTCTCCGATTCTCTCTGTCCTTCCCCTGCTTGAACTCTCTCTCTCTCTCTCTCTCTCTCACACACACACACACACACACAAAATAAATAAATAAACATTAAAAAAAAAAAGAAAGTTGGCGAGAGCAGATTGTAAGTGTTCCTACCACCAAAACCCCCACCAACCACAAAAACAATAATTATGTGAGGTGGCAGATGTGCTAACGAACCCTCTTGTTACGATCATCTTGCAGGATGTACGTGTATCGAATTGCAACGTTGTGCACGTTGGACTTCTCCAATGTTGTAGGTCAACTGTAGCTCAATAAAGCTGGGATCGACAAATGAATTCACAAGACAAAGGAGAAAGTTGGTCTCAGAGAGTTATATGATCAGCCAATGGAGGTTGTAAGTGTGCCCTAGTCTGAGCGTCTCCTTAATCTAAAATTCACAGGGGTTACCTAAGAATAGGCACTAGACAGAACAGGCAGCGGGCCCCGTGGTCTCTGGGAAGGGATGTTAAGATACAGGGAAGACAGTGGGCAGAGCTGGACCCATTTCCAAGATTCTCTGGTTGTGAAGAGGTGCTCCCAAGGAGGAAGCCACCCTCATGCAGGGTAAATCCTAGGATTTCCCTCTCTTCAGCACGTTCTCCCTCCACAAAGTCCAAAGAAGCGTAGTTGGATTTGTGGATGGATGAGAAGGGAGGGAAAATAGAAAAAAATGATAGTGCATGGGTCATATGGATGGATGAGATGACATAAGGGATAACAAGGTGAGAGTGAGCAAGGGTGACTGTGAAGACAGGTACATGATGAATGGATGCACGCGGCTCAGCTAGAGGAGCAGTGGAAAGAAGGGATGCTGTCAGCTTGAAGGATGAGTGGATTTATTGGTGTGCTGGGTCAGAGGATGGATGGATGGCTGACATGTAGCGGTGGTAAGTAAAGCAGGGAATGCTACTGGGGGGAAGTAAGGTTAGATGAATAGTCAAGTGAACTGATGTACAAAATACATGGGGACGGGATGGGGCAGAGTACGGAAGGGAGGAGGAAGCAAAATGAACATGTATAAACACAGATGAATAGAGGAGTGGGTGACTATTTGAATGGGTTGAAGGGAACAAAGGAGCAGGGATCAATGTATAAGGGATGGTGAATGGATGGATGGATGGATGGATGGGTGGATGGATGGATGGATAGATGGATGGATGGTGGATAGATGGATGGATGGATGGATGGTTGGTTGGATGGATGGATGTGTGGGTGGATGGGTGGATGGATGTGTGGGTGGATGGATGAGCGTGTAGGTGGATGGATGGGTGGATGGGTGAATGGATGGTGGATGGATAGATGGATGGATGGTGGATAGACAGATGGATGGATGGATGGATGGATGGACGGTGGATGGATGGATGGTTGGATGGATGGATGTGTGTGTGG